CGGTGACCGGGTGGGGGGTCCCAGGGTAGGACGGGGTGTCTGGGTGTAGGGGGGTTCCCAGTCAGGCTGGGTAGGGGTCCCAGTGGAGCTGTGTGGGGTCCCTGGGCAGGACGGGGTGCCCTGGTGGGGGGTCCCAGGGGAGGACATGGTGCCTTGGTGTAGGGGGGTCCCCAATCTGGCTGGGTGGGGTTCCAGTGGGACCTCAGTGGGGTCCCAGGACAGGACATGGTGCCCAGGTTGGGGGTCCCAGGGCAGGAGATGGTGCCTGGGTGTAGGGGGGTCCCCAATCTGGCTGGGTGGGGTTCCAGTGGGACCTCAGTGGGGTCCCAGGACAGGACATGGTGCCCAGGTTGGGGGTCCCAGGGCAGGAGATGGTGCCTGGGTGTAGGGGGGTCCCCAATCTGGCTGGGTGGGGTTCCAGTGGGACCTCAGTGGGGTCCCAGGACAGGACATGGTGCCCAGGTTGGGGGTCCCAGGGCAGGAGATGGTGCCTGGGTGTAGGGGGGTCCCCAATCTGGCTGGGTGGGGTTCCAGTGGGACCTCAGTGGGGTCCCAGGACAGGACATGGTGCCCAGGTTGGGGGTCCCAGGGCAGGAGATGGTGCCTGGGTGTAGGGGGGTCCCCAATCTGGCTGGGTGGGGTTCCAGTGGGACCTCAGTGGGGTCCCAGGACAGGACATGGTGCCCAGGTTGGGGGTCCCAGGGCAGGAGATGGTGCCTGGGTGTAGGGGGGTCCCCAATCTGGCTGGGTGGGGTTCCAGTGGGACCTCAGTGGGGTCCCAGGACAGGACATGGTGGCCGGGTTGGGTGGTCCCGGGGCAGGCCGGGGTGGCTGGTTGTCCCCAGGAGGGTCCCCTCTGACATTGCTCCCCCCGGGGTGGGGGGGTCGGGGGGGGCAGTCGGACCTGTTCCAGGACGACCTGTACCCCGACACGGCGGGCCCCGAGGCGGCCATGGAGGCAGAGGAGTGGGTGGCGGGGCGCACGGCGGGGCCCGTGCTGGTGTCCCTGCGCCAGGCCTACGTCCCCAGCAAGCAGCGGGACCTCAAGGTGAGCCGCCGACCCCTCCTCCATGAGAGCCG